TTTATTTTGTGCGTAGTAGGTGCCCCATTTGGAATTTAGTTGATATTTTTAAGAACCACCCTAATGTATATAACTACTACTTTTGCTAGTTGCCAACTCATTTGTAGTTGTACATACATAAGTGTAGTTATATTTGAGTGTAACTATATGTCTATATGAGCCTACATATGTATGTATGTGCATTTAGTTGATTGCATGATTATAAATTGTTGGTGAAAAATGGCAGTATCAACGGCAAAAATTAAATATCGCATGCCAACTAGATATTTCGACTGGCAGATGGTTCAATGCACTTACAGAAAGGTTGATAAATGTATGTGTACATACATATGTACATATACATATGTAAATGTAAAAACATGCACGAAGACCCCGCAGGAAATCCAGTGGAGTAGTTTGTGGTGTTTACTACTTAATACTCGGTGAGACCCGAGTTCAATTGCTGGTCCAATCACATCTAGAAATTATAAGAAAACGATTTTTCTTCCAGCAGAGTCGCCTCTCGACAGGCAATTGCAAACCTCTGAGTACATTTTTGCTTTGAAAAAAGTTCTCATAAAAAACATCAGCCGTACGGAGGCGACGTAAAACCGTTGGTCGCTCCGTTTGTGTGATAACAGCAAGACGATACGACTAATTTCAGGAGAAGCTGAGCCAAAATTTAGCAATACATACTTGGAGTTCATATATGGAACTGAGGTGCTATTACTATTTCTTTTTAGGCAAAAATTTTGTGTCTAATGCATGTATTCACAGTTTTTCTATGCACAAAAGTATATAAATTGTATTTACTTTTTCCCAGAATAGGGCTGCCAACTATCCTTAGCTGTGACGTGCTATTCGTGATAAAAACTACCAAACAAGGTACCATTCCTTCCGATAGAAGAATTTAGCAATTAGCATTTAGCAATTGAATGAGAACCTCGTTTCTAAATCAGAAGTGCAACACCAAGAAAAATTGTTGCATAAATCTCAGGAACTTACAAATTATAATGCACGCGATGGATTTGAAAAAAATGTTTTGAAATATTATTATTTTTCCTGTCAAGAGTAGGAAGGTTAATAAGTTTTAAACGACTCGTATAAAGCGGAAGATTATATTGGGGATCCCAACGAAACTTCTTAAAACAAAAGTAGGAATTGTTTTTTGCATTGATTTTGGTTTTATTGAATAAGTTTTCTTTTTACATGTTATTTGATCACTGCAGACAGCTTTATAGCACTTGTCTCAGAACTTGCTTTTGCCTAATGATTTCCCAACAGGGTATGTAGACACCGGCTGCGTTTGTCGCGTGTGCATGCCTATATGTATGTAGGTAGGTATGATGCTACTACTAGCATATATCAACAAAAAGTATATATGTTTATGTACATTAGACCGCGCAAAAAATAAATAAAAAATCCTGCAATGTGATCGACATAAGACTCAAATTTTAGAATTTTGTATATGGTCCTCCATGAATATCTCCTCTCTAGGACAATTCTAAGAGGTCCCGCGTGGATTCTTTATTTTTTACATAGGAATTACACGTAAGAAAATAATTTCTTTCCTTTTGGGGTCAATATAATTTTATAGTATCAATGAAAATGCCCGAAACTCGAAGAACACATTGATTAGATGCCATTTGAGTAGTGCGCATGCACAGATCTCTAACGGTTTTGAAATTGTAGAAATTATCGATGGTCAAATTTTAAAAATTTAAGAGAAATATGCGTATTTTTTTTAATTTACCCCATAAAAAATCCCAACAAGCCTAGTCTGACAATAGATTATTATACACCATTGTAAAGGCCTATATATCCTCTTCTCATATCATATTCGATCTTTAAAATCGAATCAAAAATAGTCATTCAAAAACTCATAAATCTACAAAATCCTATTTTCTGACCTACAAATAAATCGACAGGTCGCGACCTCTAAATAACCTTTAAAAAATCTATAGAAATAGGCAACAATATTTCTCATAAAAACGAAAAAAATTAGGGAGTAAAGGGTTGAATTTTTCAAAAAAAAAGAAGCATTTTCGATGGGCACCCCCCTAATGTATATACATACATTGATTGAAATATTCGCCCGCATGTTTTATATGCAAAACAGTCATTTAAACTGGCTACCTTAGTGTAAACAACAGTTTAGCCTCACCTTTGCTATCTATGCCAACTTTGCTATCTATTACTGCAAGTATGTCTGTGCAATATGTACTAATGAATGCATGTAATAGCCATCTAGACACTGCCACTTTATCGCCTTACTCCACTTTGCTATTTTCACTACACTTCATTTGATTACTTGCATACCAAAATATTGCTTCATTTCGTATATTTTCATGTTACACTGTTTTTTTTTTTAATTTTCTTTCATTTGAAATTTGCAAAAGGCAAAAGCAATATGCAACGAAAAATTAATTAAATAAAAATACTAAAGAAATATTGAGGAAAATCTATTTGTTTGAAACAACATGCAGGGGACATATGTATGTATGTGTCTACATGGATGAAGAGCGCGCCAGCGCATTTGTTGCGAGCATGCTCTCCCATATTCCTATTATAAATATAAACAACACAACGAAATTTGTACATCAAAAACTATTTGCAAAAATATAGGAAAGTTTCTTATAGGCAGAGTCGATTCGCCAAAAACAAAAAAAAAACAACAAACAAAAAAAAAACAACACACGTACAATGGTAAGCCTAAGTAAGAGTAAGACGCCACCGTCTTCAAATACTCGTATTGACAGCAATTGCTTTAGTTGGGGAACGTAGCTGTTTCTAATTCCCAATTTTGATATTGTGGGATATTTCATTAAAGCTCGTAGGCTCAGCTAACTACTACTAATAGACGAACTTTTTTCTAGGTCAGAAATGAAAAAGATGAGACCGATAGGGATGCAAACGATGCATTGATGTTTTTTAAATATCGTTAATATCGGCCCCAAAGTCGACTTTTGCCATCGATATCTGTTTCAGCGATGTTTTAAATATCGAGTTTAGTCAGACTTTTTATCCAACTTAACTAGTTCTTCAAATTTTTTTAATTGATCATAAGTTCTAATATTATTCATTATTTTTAGTAAAGTATTGACATTGTCATATTGATTATAAAGTCTATTTTGGAAACTAAAATTTTTTAACCGGTAAAAAAGTTCTCATTTCCGTTTTTGCTAGTAAACAAATTTCATTTTTCGTTTACAAACTGTTCGATAACATTCAGAATAGACCTGTAAGCGGGCTCCTAGAATTTTAACCCAATCAAGTAGTTTAGCTATAAACACCAACGATCTTACGATGGTATGCACTTTTATTCTTGTTTTATAGGACGGCTTATTAAATATAGGGGAGTGCGTTAGTATGTGTGTTTTTCTTCTAACTGAATAACAGAATACTGCTTTGGTTGGAATTGCAAAATATTAAGTTTTCCTTTAAATTTAACAAGAACCTTACAAATTGTAAAACACCGAAAATTATCGATATATCTATGCTTTTCTGCCGATATATATTAGCATCGATACTTATTTCTCCGATGTATCTATATTGCTCGCCATGCATCCCTAGAGACCCAAAACAAATTTTTGCTTATATTTCGGAAACCGAATGTGCATCTCAACTAATTTTGGTCGCCCTAAAAACACCTAAATAGCACCTAATTCTTGAATTATATTTGCCAGTGTTCGACGAAATTTTGGTAGGTAGGTCAGCTAGCGTAACGTCTTAAGATCCCCATATTGTCCTGTGTAGGCGGTCACGGTTATAATATTTGAATGTAATGGTGTAATATTTGAACTTATCCTTACATGTGCCATCACTATTGACCTCGCTTCCTAGCTGCATCGGTTTAGGACCCTTTTCAGACACGTTAAGGGCCAATTTCACAGTGCGTAGTTAACTCAGATACGACAGTTAACTAGAGATTTTCAGTACAAAATTCTGTAGTTAACTCCCGATTCTGAGTTAACTACGCATTGTGAAATTGGCCATAAGTCTTGGTTTCAAGTCTGCTCGGTCGTAGGCGAAGAGAGGGGAAGAGTACCTACATTCGTCTCACCTCTTTCGCCTACGAACAAGCAGACTTGAAATCAAGACTTGACGTGTCTGAAAGGGGTCTAATTTATGCAACAAAAAAAAAATAGAATTGGGATCAGTGTTCGATGAACGGCATGCATTTAGTCTAAGTACTGTTTTCTGATGTTCCAATTATGCTGCGATGAAAACTATTTAAGCCTAGAGTTCACTCACATTTTTTTGCTTTTCAAACTTTTAAACAATTATATAGAAATATAAAAATGTCTGATCTGGCAACGCAGTCAAATAGCCAAATAAATACCAGCAATTGCAGCGCATGCGCCCAACGAAAGAAATACATTTCAATAAGTGCTGAGTGGAGCAATTTAACTAAATGTAGAGAACGCCAAAAGGAGTGAATAATCAAAAACGATTTGGGGGCAGCTGAGTATCGCAGCCTGCGAGAGCCAAATACTGGTACGAGTCACGCGAGAGACACGTGAGTTGTCTAACAAACGGTAGTGTTATAAACATACTTACTTATTGTTGCTTTTTCAACTGCTAGTTGTTGTTGTTGAGGCAACGATTATTGGCGTTAGAAAACTAAACACCACTGGGTACTCGCTTTCGAATGGGAGCAGCAAAGAAAAGTGAAAAAGGATAAAAAAGTATCGTAATTGAGAAATGGAAAAATGCTGTGGATAATGTTTGGCAAACAGAAATGAGGACAACAACAAACAAGTTGTACAGATGTTTGTACATAAATGTACATCCCATAGATTGTGCTACTTTGCAAATTGTTGTTGAATGGTTAAAATTGTTGTTGATAATCTAGATTTTGATTGCTGCGGCAGCCTTAGAAATTGTATTGATGTCAAGGAATTTCACGCTCGCAACTTCCTGTTCTATGTACACCAAAAACATATGTACATACATACATACCATACATTTACTATTTATACACCTTTCACTACTCTTTTTATTTTTTACTTTGTACTCACCTTGAATGCAATAGCCTGGCACTTTGTTACTTTTACATTTGATTTTAGAGATTTTTATGTTTTGTGGATGCCTGTATTCTCAGATTTAGCACTTTCAGTCATACAACAGTTGGAATTGGTGGATTTGTTTTGATTGCGGTTGTTATTGATTTTTCAAAAGTAAAATAAAAACAAGCTTTTCAAGTCGGAAGCTGTAGAATGCCACTATGCCACTTATTTCCACTTATGTAGAATTGAATTTTTGCATTTCTAGGGTGAACTATTTTTTTGGCTACAAAGGGTTTTTTGCATTAATTTGTTATTGTTTTATTACTCTGCTTCGCGTTTTTGTTTTATTCAAGTTTTGTATTTTGTTTTTGTTCTCTTAACGCTTGTTTGTAACAGCTGTGCAATCAAGTTATAAGATGACTTTTGTTTAGCGTCTATCAGATACTTGTATTAAGCAAGCGACTAGCTATAAATATTTAATTCAAGTTTCTCGTTATTTTATTATATTTTTTGTTGTTTTCTTGGAGTTGTTCCGAAAATTAAAATTGCCAGCGTAGAATTTTATTTATTATTCAACAACAAACAAGCTAATAAATTTCGAGAATATTTTTCAATTTAGCTCGTTCACGTTTCGTTGGTTGTTGTTGGCGGGCTAAACAAGTTGCTACGGACAACAAATTGCAAAAATTTTAATATTATTACAGGCAGTATTCAACTTGCCGCCATCTAAGCTAATCTAACCTTTACGACGGATATTTAAGAGGCGAATGAGTCTTTCTTTATCTTTATTTGTTAGAACTTATTTACATAAGTTTTTATTTAGACAATAAATTTTATGAAGCTTCACTTTGTTTAATTCAATTTAATTTGATTTCTTAGTTTATTTTATTTTGATTTATTATATGTTTTTATTTAGTTTTACTTTATTTGATTTCTTTTTATTTAGTTTTATTTTTGCATTTGGTTTCACTTTTATTTATTTTTATTTCCTGTTCATTATTTTTAAATTTCGTTTCAGTTCGCACTTTTCAAAATTATTATTTTTTTCGTTTATTTGGTTTTGATTCTATTTTTTATTTTGCTTGTTCCCTTTTATTTTACTTGTTCTCTTTTATTTCACTTTTTATTTTTATGCTTTATCTTATTTTGTTTTCTTTTTATCTTATCTTGTTTTTATATACTATTTTGTTATATTATATTCTGTTTTATTCTTTTCCTATTTTCATATAATTTTTTCAATTATTTCATTGTGGGTTAGTTTAAATTAGTTCATTTTATTTTATTTTGTAAATTTAATTTTATTTTGTAAATTTTATTTTATTTTATTTTATTTTATTTTATTTTATTTTATTTTATTATATTCTATTTTATTTAATTTTGTTTTATTTTATTTTATTTTATTTTACTTTACTTTATTTTACTTTACTTTACTTTATTTTGTTTTATTTTATTTTATTTTATTTTGTTTTATTTCATTTCATTTCATTTTATTTTATTTTTATTTTTATTTTATTTTATTTTATTTTAATTTATTGAATTGTTTCTTTCTTTTAAATACATTTTGTTATATTTTATTGTAGTTTATTTTTTTCTGTTTTCATATAATATTTTTTGCTGAATTTATTTTATTTTAGTTTATATTCGTTAATTTTATTTTCTTTTATTTTATATCATTTCTTTATTTATTTTTTTATATTTTTTTTTGTTCTTTTATTTCATTTAAAAATATGTATGTATGTATTTTATTTATTTTTTAATCTTATTCTTGCGTTTTATTTTAATTTTATTTTGATTTAATTTTAATTTTACTAAATTTATTTGTATGCTTTCTTTTACTTTATCTTGATTATCATTTCTATTTTGATTTAATTTTTGTTTTTAATTCATTTTCAACCCACTTCAAAAAAGTAAGGAATATTTTATAAAGAAATCTAACTACTTATACGCCTAAAATTTTATTTAAATTTTGTTTTGATCTCTTTTTGTTTGTTTTAGTTCTTCATAAGTAAACCTTTTTTACTTTCTCTGTTTTATAATTTAAATTATATTGTTGTTTTTGTTACTTTTTCGCCTTCTAAATTAATTATTTATTTTTCCAACAACCTTTTCTGTTCAGTATGTTTCTTTTCTTTTTTAATTTTATGTTACTCATGTCCGATTTTAAAGATCAATTTAAAATTTATCAGAGTGTTAAAATTTAAACTAACACAAATTTAAATTTTAAATTTATTTATTTATTAAATTTATTATAAAATTTATTTTGTTTAAATTTTAACTATCTGATGAATTTTGAAATTGATTGTCAAACCGGGCATCAGTTAACATTTTTTTTTTTCAAAATCAGTCGACAGAAAAATTGTGTGCATTGAATCTTTTTTGTAATGTCCTTTGTTTAAAATAATCTTGCTCACCTCACCGTTTACACACTTCGAATTTCTATAAAAATATTTTTATTTATGTAGCTAACAAGTTACCTTTGTAGTTATTAAATACAAGAAAATCTCTTTTTGGCACAAAATTACGTTAAAATGTTACTAAAGGTTTATTTGCATTTACAAATTTTTATTTAAATCTGAATACGTAGTATTTATTTTTAAATATTTACAGCACAATTAAGCTTTTTTCAACATTCAAAATTCTTCCACACAAAGTATATACATATGTATGTATGTTTTTACACCCGCAATTAAATTTCCGCAATTTTACAATCTATTCGCTGCTTTAAATAGTCCGTTATTTTCACCTTCAACACACTTCACCTTGCTGTTCACTCTGCGCCCAATATTTCGTTAAGGTAAATGAATTTTGTTATATTTTCGAAATGGTTTTTGTTATTTTATTTTTACAAATTCTAATGCGCTATGTGCCACACACAAATAATTATATTTACTCGCGCGCGCACATCCAATTAGAATTACAATAAAAAGCACAATAAATTAACAAATACACAATACAAATGTTAAAATTTGTATGTAAATTTAATAGTCCGCGACCACGCTATGCGACTGATTATCCACCAACTCGCTGTAGATACGAAAAGCAACTGATTGTAGACGACTGGTGCCTGGCTCGTCGCTGCCTCAGTGCCTTGCTAACTGAATAACTGGCTGCATGGCTGCCTATGCACTCTCCACGACTCAGAAAAAACAGCACTCTACTGGTGAATGGGTCTGCGTCGTTCGAGTAACCGCAATGAGCGCTGCGCTAGCGTCGACGCAACTGAGCCATGCCGCCTGGACCCCCTGAAAATTTTTGGGGTGAAGAAAATTACATAGAGCTTTGATTGACTTATGAGGAATGGGATCAGTGATGCCAGATTGTGGGTAATTTCCCTATTTAAGGGTTATTTTGCAAAAAAATTATAAAAAAAGAGAAAAAAGGGACCTTTAAAAAATCTATAAAATTAAGCAATAATATTTCTCATAAAAATGAAGAAATTAGGGGGCAAGGTCTTGAAATTTCCAAAAAAAAAATAATCTTCGATGGGCACCCTAATATGTATGTTATATTATATATGAATGTAACTTTTTACTACTGAAATATACGTTTAAATTCTTTGAGAATTTTGTGGAATAAATTTTTATGATGTGGGTAAAAGAAGGGATTTTTTCCCGATTTTCGTGGGTAATTTAGCAGAGAACGTCTGGCATCACTGGATGGAATAACCAAAGCAGCGCTCTTCGCTGTCGCTGTTTAAAGCTCTGCCGCATTCGCCGGTGTTTACGTACATACGTACATACATATGTATATACATTAGGGTGATCCTCAAAAATCAAATTAACAATTTGTTCAGTCTCACCCCTTCAATCGGTAACAATGTCACAGATATGACATAAAAATGTTGGTCCCGATTGGAGACGGTTAAGACGTGTCGCACAGGGGCCAAATCTGAGCAGGGGGAATCTGAATCCTCCATAGAAACTCAAAAAATTAAAATAAATTTTTTTGCCAACTCATACCCAAAATCGATACTACCGTAGTCGAAGATATCGCATATAAATTTTGGTCCCGATTGAACCATGGAAACTCAAAAAACTAAAAATATTTTTTTCATTTCTAACCAACTCAAATCGGGGCCAAAATTTATATGTGATATCTTCGACTATATTGGCATCGACGTAGGGGTTGAGGCTTAGGAAATCTGATGAAAAAATTTGCTGCCTACATTTAATGGCCACCCTAATATACATATGTATACAGTACGTACACCTAGTTGGCGTGTTGTTGAGTCTTCCCGTCGTGGTGGCCCAATTGTTATGCTGCTCTTGTTGTTGGTGAATTGTTGTTGCTTGTGCATTTGGGGTGCAGTCTATGCACTGTGAATCGTTTTGTGGTGAAAATTGAGAAAATAAAATTTTGAGTCAACTAATTTTACTAAATGTATAAATTGATAAAATACAATACATTTATTGTTCTATATTCGGAGAATAATAAATGAATTTTTTCTGAACTCGTAAGTATATATATGTAGATATGTATATGTATATCTCGTAAAGATTCGATAAAAACTCGAAATTCTCTGAAAGCCACGAATAATATTTGCTTTTAACTTTTTCAAAAAGAGCAACTGTGCATTATATTTGAAATTTAAACTTTAAATGCACCGTTAAATTTGTGGTAAAATCATACAATATCGAAAAAAAGTAAAAACAAGTAAAATTACCCCGAAAAACTTTGCGAAAATCACGAAATGTTTCAAATAAACCACGAAACGTCATGCTCAAATTTGTATAGGTCCTGAAAATTTGCACGTAAAAGTCATTACATTAACATTATTTATTTGACAAAACAACCTTAATTTTGAACGTACAGTTGAATCTGAAAATTTCCAAAAATACTGAAAAGTGCCAAATAAACACGAATGATCAGGGAAATCGCAAAATGTTTAGAAAATCCAGAAACGTACAGAAAAGCTTTGGAAAATTCCCGAAAGGTACCTACTAAATTACGAAAATTCAGGAAATTTTCCCAAGGATACCGAAAAAAAATTCCAGAAAATCTTGAAAAATTTCGAAAATCTCCGAAAAATCGAAAACAAATTTTGCTTTAATTTTTAGGCTTTCAGAAAAAAAGAAAAATAGCTTAATATTTCAAAAAGTTAAAAAAAAAATATTAAAAAAGTTAAAAGAAAATAAAATTTGAGAAAATCTGGAAAATCTAAAACAAATTTTGCTTTTGCTTTTTCGGCGTTCAGAAAAAATCACTAAGTAAATTGGGAGAAGTCGCGAACAATTTTAAAATATCCTTAAAACAAATGCCGCACAAATTTCGAAACACCTGAAAAATCACAAGTGAAGTAATTTTTTATCAAAGTTCAAAAACTAAAAAGTAAAAATTACGTTTTATATTCCGAAAATGAATATCCGACAAAATTTTGCTTTTTATGTTTGCCTAAAATTATAAAAGCCAGACAATGTCGGATTTTCTTGCTCGAAATATTAAATAATATTAGGTCACAATTTCGAATGTCAGTTTTTTCTGGCTATACTTTGCGCTACTATCGCCAATGATGGATGCGATAAGTGTTGAATTGTAGCAGAAAACTGAGCCAACACCAGCGTTGAGGTGACCTCCTGTGACTTCATGAGCACGTAGTGATGCCTTACCAGCAACGTATACTGCACCCGGCCATCCCTACCACTTTCCTACCTTCTAGCTTACTTCTAGGGTAGGGGAAGATTATAAAGCCCCGCTTTAGCATTGTCTCGCACTCCTTTGTACCCTTTGAAGTTGTTTAAGCGCTGTTGTCTTACTAAGTGTAGGCCACCATACTAGGGCTCCGTAGAGCAGAATCGGATGAACAATGGCAGTGTAACTAGCAATAGTGAACTATCCGCGGTGAGAAGCCCCAAGGTACGTCGATCGCCTTTTTACATGTGAAGAGCGCTGTGGTAGCTTTCTTGGTGCATTTTGGCATCCTAAAGCAGTTTGCTTTCAAGAATTATTCAAAGATACTTTGCAGTACAATCAAGCTTGAGCCATCGAGTTTAGGGCGGGTAAGGGCCGGTACTTTGTACCGTCTGGTAAAAAAGACAAGCTAGTTTCAGCTGAGTTAACCTGAAGACCGCAGTTTTTGGTCCAGGTAACGAGTGAAGCAAGAGCGGCTTCCATAAGATGGCATAGAGTTCGGGGAAATTTACCTTGTACGATAACCGGAACTTCATCGGCGTATGACAGGATTTTCATCTTGACTAGCCTGTCGAAGGTGGGTGTCAGTGACAGAATAGTGGATTTATTGATCACAACTATCCAGAGTGTGAAGTATTGAGCTGTTTACGGATTTTGTACAATTCTTTAACGTATCAAGTTAAAGGTGCGCTGTTTTCAAAATTCTTTCATAGTGTGTAATAACTCATGGATAACCAAATGACGCTTTTCTCGATAGTTTATTTGTATCTGAGCAGATCAAAGGTTTCCTAAATGATTTTATTTCCTTCTGAAACTAAAAATTTTGCAATAGAATTTTTATACCCCATTACAAATATTTACGTGGGAATATTAAAAAATTTTCTGTTCCACTCTGGTGAATTACCACAACTTAAATCTATAAATTGAATCTCTTGCATAACATTTAAGCCCAATTTAAAATGCTTAAAACCTATTGTAGGATGAAATATATGCACGAGTACCAATCATATTACTGGTATGAATTTAAACCATTGTCCCACATTGACATCACTGCTGTTTTCATGGAACGTTTAAGCTGTCACATTGTTCACTCTTTTTTCACCGTAAGAGAATGCCTTTGTCCCTATCATTACACGCACTGTTTACCACTTTGACAACACAACAGTTCGAGCTGTTGCGGGGCTATGGATTTTGTGGTGGTAAATATGCACTTAGGTGTGAAATACAGTGGGTGGATTCGGATATACATATACATACATACAATACACATACATCTCGGCCAACATCATCGTCAACACCGCCTCGACATCATCGCTATTACAATTACTGTTGCACTCCATTTCAACAATGCTATCAATTCTGTAATTCCATAAATATTGAGCTGTTGTACAGTCTGATTGAATGCAAAAATACGCGAAGAAAAAAAATGTAATACAAGATATCAGTTGCATTCAATTTTAAATATTAACAACGTTACACGTAAGTGCATTACTATAAAAATGTGAGTAAATTGATAAAGACTCATTGCGAAAATTCTGCTTAAATTTCAATCACAAAAAGGTGCGCACTTATTTTCTATATACGACTACATATATAATCGTATAACTTTTTAAGATAAATTTATAAACAAATAGAAACATACTTAAGTATCATCGAAAATATTTCGAAATGGCGTAATAGCGCATTCACATAACATACATATGTAGGTACTCGTGGATACGATCTTCAAAAGTGACACAACTAAAAATTTGGCATTTTTTAAATTATGCACGGCAAATGCACACAGTGCTTTTATTTGCCTTTCAGCAAAAGCTGGAGCAAATTTGTATTATAATTTGTTGAAAAAATCAAGATAATTAGCTTGTGCTAAGAAATAGTTATTTGCATGTTCTTACGAACGTGTGATTTTGAGTTGTGTCACCTTTAAAGGTCGAGTGCGATATGTACTTACTTGCAGTACTTTAGAATCTCTAGTTAAGTATACATACTTGGATTGAGTGATAGATAATGATTAAAGTTTGATTTCCTGCATTTATATGAATGCATAAAGGGGGTTCCGTAATGCCACGTCCTCCGTTCGAAATTTCTTATTTAACTACTCTGCATGACACACTCCACTGACTCACGTTAATTAAAATTGAGCATTTTCCAGTAGTTTATGGGTGTGGTCCACGAAAAACTTGCTCGCGAGCTGGAGTGGTAGTAGCGTAAAAATAAATAAAAGTTAACAAATCGAAGGTGTTTTGTGTAAAATTCTGAGAATATTTCTTCGGCAGAGCCAACAGTAACAATACTTACTTACATATGTACATAAATATCGTCCACTAAAAGCGCCAATCTATTATTATTACAAAAAAATATGTTATTAACATTATTACATATATCAAAAATCAATAGCAGCGAATGCGAACATAAGTGTTGTGCGCGTCGAAATTCCAGGAAATCAACGCAGAGATGGTGGCTGGAGTGAATTAAAATTCGTTTGAGATTTTCCGCTGAGCTGGAAGAACTTCAAGAAGTGTGCTAGCTCTTTTGTTCTA